CCCGAGGCGCGGAGAGCGGATCGCTGGGCGGGGACCGAGAGGGGGGAGGCTTTCCCGACAGCCTAGCCTTCTGCCTTCCGTCCGCCGCTAGGTGGAGGGGGGAGCTGGCGGGGGAGGGAGGTCTCCCTGAGAGCGGCCGCTGCTGCACGCAGAGGGGTGGCGGTGCTCCGCGGCCTTACGGCCGGGGCTGCCAAGTGGGTGTCAGCTGCTGGCTGCTTCGTAGGCCGCGGGAGCCCCTGAGCCCCAGCCTCTGCATCAAGCCTGTGTTGGGTTCCTCCCCCGCGGGCAGAGTTCTCTGCGCGGGGCCCAAGGAGGGCTGTCCACAAAGCCTGTGTTGGGTTCCTCCCCCGCGGGCAGAGTTCTCTGCGCGGGGCCCAAGGAGGGCTGTCCACAGCTGTCTCCGCTAGGACGACCGGCACCCCCACCCCCGTCCTCATCCGGAGATCTGTGAGAGTAGCCGTGCAGGGGAGGGAGGAGCCTCGCGGTCACTCGTGGCCTCCATGCAGTGAGGGACGAGGGACCCCTCTCCCTGGCCTGACCGTGAGCCCGGATGCCCGGCGCAGCCAGTCCCAGGTCTGAGCTCAGCCCCAGCCTTGGACTTCTCCACCGCAGATTCGATCCCCTGGCCACCGCCCCCAGCGAAAGGAATAATGGACTTCTCCCTGATGCAGCTGACGGCAAGGGCAGGGAAAAGGCTTCTCCCTTTTGGGCCTTAAGAGTATTGAGTGGCGCCCAGAGCTTTGCAGAGTCAGGTCCAGCCTCGGCTCGTCCCAGATTGCTGTGTCCTTCATGCGAACCCCTGACTTCATCAGCCCCTGACGTTTCCTCGTCTACCGAACTGAACAGATGCATCTGTTCTCACCTAGCGGGTGTGGGACAAGTGAGTTAGACACATCTGCGAGAGGTCTACCAGGCCTGGCGGTTTTCCGAAGTCTCAGCAAATGCATTCCTCCCTCTGAGGCCCTTTATTTCCTTTAGAGCCCAATGGGAACTGAGGTCAGCCTGGCACACAGGATGGCTCTCCTAATCCGCAGTCTGCCCTGGTCAGCACGTCCAGGCCCAGGGCTTCCTAAGGGCTTACACATCAGCAGGCTAATAATCGTTCCTGGAGTAATAATAATAGTAGTGAGGCCTCTTGTACCAGGCCCCTGTCCATCCTCCTGCCCAATGAGCAGAGCCTAACTGCACAGAGAGAGTCCAGCCAGGGCTGAGGGGGCGCCCTCCCCTGCAGCACCCACGCTGGAGCATGGGGAAAGGGGCTGTCAGTTTTCCATTCACAGTTCTTTACACACACATACACACACACACACACACACACACACACACACACACACACACACACACACACACACACACACACACACACACACACACACACACACACACACACACACACACACACACACACACACACACACACACACACACACACACACACACACACACACACACACAGGCCTCCTAATTCCCAGAGTGCCCCTTAAGAAGAAGGAGTGAACAGTGCCTTAGGAGAAGAGAAGCCAAGATAGGTGTCTGCAGCCCTGCCTGAGGGACCCCGGGTCTCAGCCTGTTTGCCCCTCACCTTTCCACAGGACCTACCTGGGTGCACCAACCCAGCACAGTCCTGCCATGACCCAAAGTTCTCTCCCCGAGGAAACAGACCAGGCTCTCCACCTCCCTCTGCTTTCTCTCCATCACTTCTTCCTCTCCTCAGCTAGGCCTGGGCTCATTCATGGTCTCTCCGGTTCCAGCTTAATTCACAATTGTACAGGCTTTTGAAGTTTACAGTGCCCTCTCCCACTTTAGAGTCTCATGACAGGTATTATTGTTTTTATTGTGGTCATTATTTTAAAAGAATTTTTAATTTTTAATTTATTTGTTTTAATTTAATTAATTTATTTTAATTTAACCAGAGAGGAACAGAGTGAGAGAGAGAGAAAGTGAGAAAGCAAACTGCCAGGTCCGGAACTCGAACCACAGTCATCCATGTGGGAGTCCAGAGCCCTTAACCACCATGCCATGCCGCCTGCCGGCCTCTACTGTGCTCATTTTACTACTGAGAACAATGAGACTCAGAGAGGTCAAGCAACCCAGATGACATCACACAGTCTTGTAAATGGCAAGCTAGGATGAGAAAGGGTGGTGTCTGGCAGGACCTCGGCCCTTTTGGTGGTGCCACATTGCCTCTAGGTAAGCAGCTGAGTACCCATAGTTCCCTTCCAACATGACCAGCCACCTACGCTCTCCTCTTTAGTTTATTGAGTGAAGGGATGCCAGGCATTTGCATACAGGAGAACGGGCAGAAAATTTGAAAAAAAAAAAAAGGGGGAAAAGAAAAAGAAACGCTGAGTAG